CACTTGATGGCTCTTGGGTTTTGTTGAATGAAAAACCTTGAAGAACAGAGGCACCCAGTTGTAAGGACAACCATGGGTTCCATGACATCATTGCTCGTATTATGTAATGTGCAGTTTCTTCTACTTGTTAAATATTTGTTTACTAATGTGGCTTTTAAGTTTCAGACTAATTTTATTGCATGGAATTTTACAATTATTGGGTTTTTTTTCCTGATTTGAACCACACCTTGGTAATGGCATATTAAAAAATATATTGCTATTACTATTATTATTTCAAAACAAAGCATTGGACTGAAGCTTCCCATCATTTAATTTTTGGAAATATATTGGGGGAGTCCAGTGAGAGGCAGTGCAGTGTAGTGGTTGAGGCGATGAGCTAGGAGTGGGAGGAACCAGGTTCTAGTGCTCCCTTAGGCATGGAAGCTCCCTGAATGACTTCAGGCCAGTCCATTCTCTCAGCCCTAACAAGCTTCAGGCTCTGTGACAAGCTGTCTAATGAACAAACCACCCTCTCACAGCATGTATCGATAGCTTCACTGTAGAAACTGAATGAGCACAATGTAAAAACAAGCGGATCCCGCAATATGGGACAAATTTATTTATTTATTTATTATTTATTAAATTTTTCAGCCACCCATCTCCCCCCAATGGGGGAACTCTGGGCAATTCACAACAAACATTAAAAACATAAATATTATTAAATTTTTCAGCCACCCATCTCCCCCCAATGGGGGAACTCTGGGCAATTCACAACAAACATTAAAAACATAAATATTATTAAATTTTTCAGCCACCCATCTCCCCCCAATGGGGGAACTCTGGGCAATTCACAACAAACATTAAAAACATAAATATTATTAAATTTTTCAGCCACCCATCTCCCCCCAATGGGGGAACTCTGGGCAATTCACAACAAACATTAAAAACATAAATATATATAAATACATAAAACCTTAATTTAAAACATTACTAAAACGGAGAAGGAGAGTCCAAGAGGATGAAAAATCTGAGGCTGAAGACAGAAGGCCTCTATGGGG